CCCTCCCTCCCCCCCCCCCCCCCCCCTTTAATTTTTTTCGAAACCTCTTATCACATGGGGAACACCGACTCGCGCACTTTCTGCGCCTTCGTCGCACTGTTTTCCGCTGTACACCATCATAGTCTAGATTACTCGAACTTATCGTGAGCTGTGCCTTTTAGTAAAATGATTCCGCAACATTCTCCTCATGTTACCCCATAGACTATATGAATAATAACTATTGTTGAAATTGTTCCCATTATCGCACTTTTAAATGTTCCAAATTCCTATAATTCAGCTGCCTCAACTGTTGATATCGTCACTAAGCGAGAACTCATTACTCATGGATGAAGTTGTACAGGTGAGTTGCTTTCTCCACTTTTAAGGGATCTAGAAACAGTGTGGAGTAATGTTGGGTGAGCTTATGGATAAGTTTTGATGTTAAGGATTGCTCAAGTTCGGCAAAGTTCAATTTTTACGTCGAAGACTCGGCATCATCGCTGGTTGTCAGTGTGATTGGCATTGATGTCCACATGGCTGACATGGTCTCTCTCATGGATCCAGCGAGTAAGTGGTTGATTATCAAAGTAGCATTTAGATTGTTTCAATGATCTTTGATAATTTGCTCCTGATGGAATGGAGTTTAAGATATTCAGTAGAGCCCAGATATGTTCAAGCTGTAGCAATTAAAACTGCTGAATGAGTATGACGTCTTTCGACATTAAAAATCTTATTTTTGGGATGCGCCCCCGCGTTTGGCTTTAAGAACAGAGCAGCTCTTTGAATGCAAGTGATAATGGTCGGCCGAAGTAAAAGTCAGTGCTTTACCTTCCCGGAGGAGTCTGGAACCGATTAATTGACACCGGAGACATGGAAGGCTTGGTTGGCCCAGTCGGTGGTTCCAGGCGTCAGTGTAAGTGTGTGTGCGTCGGTGTGTATGTGTCGGTGTGTGTGTGTCGGTGTGTGTGTCGGTGTGTCGGTGTGTGTATGTGTGTCGGTGTGTCGGTGTGTGTGTCGGTTTCTGCGTGTATGTGTGTGTAGTGTGTGTGTATGTGTGTGTGCGTGTGTGTGTATGGAAACTAGACAGTTTCGAGAGAGGTAGACAGAGAGCAAAAGGTTCATACTCGGAATTTTCATCCGCAAATTAACGTTTGGGACTGTTGTGCAGTTATTTTCCGATGTTTTGTAACCATCCTGACGTACCAACATAATTTGGAGGCATCAGTACTCGCTTCATTCGTTCTCTGAAATCGTACAAATGTAGTAATTTCTCGACTATGAGGAAAGCGGAGCAAGAAAAGAAGATTTCCCTGCGACATCACTAGAAAACGCTTTCTTCTAGGAAGCAGTCTTTGTGGTCAGTCGTATTTTGCCGGCAATATGATTGTCCACAAAACTCACGATGCTTCGGCATTGAGGATGACCGAACAGAGCACAAGCAAAGCAATCTGGACAAGATTATTTCTGAATGATGCGCAACAAAAAAAATAATGGCTACGTCACTGAACGAAATTACGTACCGCAATTAAAGAGTAGTATCGGGCCATTGCTAGCTTCGCTACCTGGGACGAATCAGCGACTCTGTAACGGCATAGGCATCTCATGAGATTCATGCCAGAAAAAATGAGCACAGACAGATTTCAAATAATTTCATCGAACAAGGAAAGCATTTACATGGAAATGTAGCTGGTAATCAATATAAGATGCGCCAAAGTATGAGATTGATTAGATGTAATTCTTCCTACGGTTTCGAATGTTACATGGGCTGTCCTGTTTTGGTTCATTGCATGGTTTGCTTCAAGATGAAATAGGGCTGACTCAAGCCAAACAAGCAACCAAATTGAATACCATCGTCTTCCAACCCTCCACCATGAGTAGCGGTGCTAGATTTGCTCTCAACGGATGCACTTAATCTTTCATCTCCAGATAAATCAATGCAACTACTTCTCGTCTCACAGCGTGGTAAAAGAAGGTCTAAAGAGTGATTAGCTTAAGTCAGCAAAGCGTCGTGACGAATCCTAGATTCTGAAATAATATTGGAAAAACGGAAAGATTATCGTAAAGGGAAACCGAACAAGGCCTACGCTTGCTGCGACGTGCAGTCCTGTGAAGCCTTGCGTTAGGCGTCAAACGCCAGTTTCTCGACCTCTGGGACTTGATGGCAAGACGAATTTCAACAAGATCTGAGCCACGTGCTTCTTGAGCGATAACGATCTTTCAGCCTTTTCCGACCTCAGACGGCTTCTTCGTTCAAGCCATGCCTTGAACGTTGATTAGGTGAGAGCAATGAGCGAATGTTGGGATGTAAATGGGACGCTGTTGAGAGAACCGTTGGACATGGAGGCACTGCTACAATAACGATCACCGAATCGGGACTCGGTTTATATACATGCTTGGAGAGTAGTTTTCTCTTTGAACGCCACACTATCTCAAACAATTCAATATCTTCGTAGAGGTGTGAAAAGGGCTGAATATTACAAGCGTTTTCAATACCCACTTTTAGAGAGAGTCAGAATACAAATGAGCATTCTATCGGATCCATTTGTGGGTTTTTTCCTGCTACCCTAACGACCATTACTGCCATTTTTTCCTCTTGAAGCTAGAGAAAATCACGATGATGTCGAGCCACCACTAGTTTTTCTTACTCAGGTCTGCTGAGAAGAGTTGCTATGGTGGAAAGCAATTGGAATGATATAGTGATTGACATTCGAGAGGGAGAGGCAGCCATGTTGGAAAGTTGCATCATTCATGGTTGGGTTGGTTTTGTTTTGGCAACAAAATTACGCAGCAGTTGTCTAGACATGTAATCGAACTATAAATCGATTCCTCTGAACCATCACTGTGGCATGGCGATCGCACGCTTTGTACTCGGGACCGTGAAGGGCGACGGTGGCATCCTGAGGAAGCCAGATGAACTAAGGCGCAGATATGATGAATACTTCGATAGGCTTCCAAACGACGAATTCCACCGCATGAGCACCTCCAATGAAGAAGTAACAGCTGGTTTCATTGCATTGTGGGCAGGAATTGAGTTCCGAAGAGCATTAGGGGAAATGAAAGCTGGGAAAACGACTGTCAAATTGGGGAACCGACTGCGGCATGGAAGACGCTCGGAGTGTAATTAAACTAGTCAGGAGAGGAAAAAGATGATCACACACCATTCTTCTTGCTATTGGCTTGACGATGTGTCGTTTGCGGAGTCCTCCCGTTATTTCAAGAGGTGCGCAAAGCGATCGTTTTCAAGATTCCCATTGATGACATCTTCGCAATTTCGTTTTTCTCTTGAAAGACCTTTCCGCAATCACTTTAATGTGTTGTTCTGTGAAATGGGGTCCGGCGACCGATTCTAGTACAACAGCGTATCG